AAATTATTTTTAGAAAAAAAAAGAATTACATATTCAGAAACTAAATTAAAAGCATTACAGAGTCGCATAAAAAAAGAATCAAATTTAATAAAAATTAAGGATTGTAGTTATTATTATTATTATTATTATTATTATTATTATTATTATTATTATTATTATTATTATTATTATTATTATTATTATTATTATTATTATTATTATTATTATTATTATTATTATTATTATTATTATTATTATTATTATTATTATTATTATTATTATTATTATTATTATTATTATTATTATTATTATTATTATTATTATTATTATTATTATTATTATTATTATTATTATTATTATTATTATTATTATTATTATTATTATTATTATTATTATTATTATTATTATTATTATTATTATTATTATTATTATTATTATTATTATTATTATTATTATTATTATTATTATTATTATTATTATTATTATTATTATTATTATTATTATTATTATTATTATTATTATTATTATTATTATTATTATTATTATTATTATTATTATTATTATTATTATTATTATTATTATTATTATTATTATTATTATTATTATTATTATTATTATTATTATTATTATTATTATTATTATTATTATTATTATTATTATTATTATTATTATTATTATTATTATTATTATTATTATTATTATTATTATTATTGTTATTATTATTATTGTTATTATTATTATTGTTATTATTATTATTGTTATTATTATTATTGTTATTATTATTATTGTTATTATTATTATTATTATTATTATTATTATTATTATTATTATTATTATTATTATTATTATTATTATTATTATTATTATTATTATTATTATTATTATTATTATTATTATTATTATTATTATTATTATTATTATTATTATTATTATTATTATTATTATTATTATTATTATTATTATTATTAACATAACAATTATAATAATTATTATTATTAAAATTATTACCCAGCTGAGTATTCTAAACAAAAACATTTTAATACATATGGAGTAGTAATATAGTTGAGTAATTGGTTGTTGAGTAAGGGAAGCATATTAATATTTAAAAATATGTTTGATTAAGGTTAATATTTATCAACAAGGAAATTATTCTGTTTTTTTGGCAAAAAGGAAATTATTTAGTTAAAGATGGGTCTTATAACAATTTATAAAATATTGTATGTTTGACCACGTGAATGTAAACGGCCAAAACTAACAGAAGGACCAAATTAAGATGCATTAAATAGAATAGGTACTAAAGTTATATATTTATTAGTTGAAGGACCAAAACAATATGGTGATGATAGTTTGAGGACCATTTATGCATTTTACTCTTCTTTTGGGCACAAATTTTAATAAAGTGATTGAAAAGGTAAAAGTTGTTGTTGAGATTTGAGTAGAAAAAGGTGAAATGATGTGGACCACATCTTTCTTTCCAAAAAGGGTAACATGACCATCATTTTGGCACATCCCAAAAAAGGAAATACAGGACCATCATTTTGGGACGGGGGAGTATGTGTTTGTAGAAAAATCGATTAATAAGAAAAACATGGTCATCAAATGGGATATTTGTCATGCATAATAATCACTAACCACATGTCTATTTCTTAGGATTTAACACTCGAAAATTAAATATTTGTCAATAGAATGCTTTAAGAGGCCGTTTGGTGACATCATTTTTCGGCTTAGCAAGCTTATGAGTTGCATTTCATCAAACACGTTATTTATGAATTCGCGCGTTAAATTGTGTTTTAATAAGAAAAAATAAAGTTGAATTTACTTTTTTGGTTGGATTGGCTGCAATTCTGTAGATGATCAGTTTAGTTATTTTTCATATAATTTTTTTCTTTATCTTATTAATAAAAAATATTGTAAATATAATTTTTTTCATAAATCAGCAGATTTAATCACTTCACTTAGAATTGCATAACTTTCAACAGAATCAACCGATTTATTCAATTCTAGTGTTACCAAACGGGCTCTGAATATTGCGGTAAAATAAACCATATTTTGCATAATTCAATATTGACTGCTGCTTAATTAAGTGCTAGGTGTGTGTTTATAGCTCCGTTTAAGAAAAAATGATACTCGGGAGACGATCTGTTAATGTTATAGTCGTACCTTTTGTAGCAAAAAGAGTGTCGTTCGGAACTAAAATCAAATGAAGGTAGCTGATGAGTCTTATCAAGAGAAACACCCATCATTCATCATTATTATGACACCTACACATACTGACTGACATACATTTGTACGATTCATATGTGATTTGAATGGGCGGGAAAGAAGTGAACACATGCCCTAAACACAGATGGATTGAATGATTCTCCTTATTTATGTTATAATTATATTTAAAATATATTTTATAAATAAAATAAACAAAAAGTTATACGAAAATACCTAATGTCACTCCTTCCGTAAAGGAAAAGATCCTCTCACTTTTCTTTTTCACCCGTAAAGAAAAAATCTTTTTATTTCTAAATCTTCACATTATGCCCTCAATAATTTTGAAAGTAATATACTACAGAGTACTACGTATTACAATTACTTTTTGGATTTATCTTTTATTTTATCACACTATTCAATCTTTCTTCCCATCATACCTGCAATAGTTTATACTCTTTTTTTACTATTCTTAATCTACCTACTTTTGAAATGAGAACATCTTTATGTTGCGGAGATAGTATTATAGTATTATATTGTAAGAAGTTGTTCTCTTCGTCTGATCTAAATGTTTCTGATCTGAATTTTTTAAGTTCTGATCTGATATGATCTGAATATTTCTGATCTAATTTCTGGACAACATTCGTGTCCGCAAGTCGCAGTTTTCCGTTGTGGGAAATTAACACACTAGAAACCCATCATTTGTCCCAGTTTTTTCATTCTAACGGGTAAACTTCGAGAATAAATTTCTCATTCACCCGTTATCCGTTTTGAGTGTACCTATATCGAATTGTAGCCCTTAGCAAGCACAATCCGAAACCACTTTGACCCGACCCAAATCGGAAGTGGATCCCACTCACAAAATTGCCTCAAAATGACCATTTAATGCAATTTATTAACACATTTTTCAACAATGAATTACTCCGTATATAATTACCAAATACGTAGTACAGAGTATATAAAATTAAAGTTAACTTTTCTAATCAATTAATTGAAATTACTATAGAGAATCATTTTAGCTATTTTTATATAACTTTTTTTTAATAAATATATTACAAATACTTTTTTCGCAATTCTGCTAATTTAATCAAAATTTGAACAATTTTAGCATATTCGGCCAATTTCATTGTTACCAAACATGCTTTAATTTATTATTTCTATCTAATTATTATTTCTAGTTACCTTTCAAAATTCAAAATAACAAATTTGTGTTTAACATTGTTTATCTTTAATTTCACCTACATAATCGAATTTGGTTGAATTTGCACATTTGCTAACTTATGAAAAAAGTATATTTAAAATAACTTATGTAAGCTCAATCATTTAAACAAGAAAAGCAACTCTGACTTAACTTATCAGAAATCGGTGGACGAATCAAAAGTTACATATTTGATCAAAGCAATTGGTTGATAAAGCTAAAAAGTAGGGAAAAAAGTCACCATAGGGAGTCATAATGCTTTGCTTTTTCATTACACATATTAATATAAAAATTGACCATGCTAGTTTATGGGACTTATACATAAGAGGATTTAAAGAACCATATATGATTTCTTATGAAGTCATATAGACTATGTGGACACCACCATCACCTCACATTTTTAGTAAGGGCCCCACTAAAAAATCCTTATATTACTAAAATTCCCACATAGCCTATACATGACTCCATAGAGAAATCAAACATTGTTTTTTAAAAGACACTTCTTGTTAAATAAAATATAAAAGATCCTTACAACTTGCAAGAGAGAAGTAGGTCTTCCTGAATCATCGATATCCTGCCTCAATCTTGACCACTTCTTTCTTTTTAATACTCCCTTCGTCCCAATATAAAAGACACATTCGCTTTTCCATACATTTTTAGGGTGAACAATGTTTAAACACTGTTTGACACTGTTTGGACACTGTTTGACATTGTTTTGTTTGCCAATAAGGGAAATGCGCCTTTTATATTGGAACGACCCAAAAAGGAAAATGTGCATTTTATATTGGGATGGAGGGAGTACTTGATTACATTGTAGATCAATCAACCATCAAGAATTGGGAGTTCTAATCTCAAAATTAGTGTAAATAGAAGTTATTCTTAACTTGTAGAGGCATTCTTGAGAACAAATAGTTCAAAATGACTATTTTTAATACCTAATTATTCCTTATTTATCATGATTGATCCTTGGGTTACTGTCATTATTAACTTGTCAAAGTTATTAAGAAATACACAAATGAAAATAACTCATTTCTTACTTGATCAATAAAAAAACTCTTAGAATTAGAAGTCCAAATATTAAATGTAGTATATATAATTATATAAATATAAATTTGTGGAGGCATTCTTAAAAACAAATATCCCAATCACTCAAGAAAAAGAACAAATATCCCAAAAGAGCTATTCTTTTTATGGAAGGTAGAAAGCTAAAGAATAATAAAAGCTAATGAAATAAAAGCGCTAATGAAAAACAAAGGCAAAAAAGAAAAAAGAAAAATCTTCCCCCTCCTGCAAATCTGTATATCCATCGAAACCTCAAGCACCCAAAAAGGAACATCCAAATGTGCAGATCCCAACGCAATCAATATCTTATCCAGAGTGACCATCATCCCAACGCACCAGAAACACCACAAAAAAAAACCCGTAAAGCTCCTTTCAGGTGTCCAAAAAGAGCAATTCTTAAGACCAAATATTTGAAATGTATTATAAGTAAAGGTAAAACTGTTTTCTCGGAAAAGCTAAGGTTGTTATTTATACAATTATACCTTTTATATAAATTACCTAAAATTATTTGCTATTAGTATAAATAGAAGGTCGACATTTCCTTCTAGGCAAGGATTCTCAGTTTTGTACATGGTTTGATCAGACTTCTTGGAGCAAATGCACAATGTCAGTATATGCGGCTGAAATTGTAGTTAACTTTATCTTTAGTTCAAGGGATCTCATTGTTTTCCATTATAACTTGTTGAGGTTAGCATATTGCATGTTATTGCTTCATTTTAGCCTTATTAGTGTCATCCTTGTTGTCTTTATTACTTCACATTATAGCTTTTGAACTAAGCTACAAATTTATATAATTTGTTTTGTTTATGCTTATGTATTTTATTCCCAGATGTATTGTTGTTCATCATCATCATTACCCCAGTGCCACAAAGGAGGTAGGATGTACGCAGTCTTACCTTTGTACTAAAGCACCTAAAGACTGTTTCAGGATGACCCATGCATGGGAAAAATTGCGTCGAAAAATTGCATAAACTAATTGCCGCCCCATAACAAAGAAAGAAAGAGAGTTTAGTGTGTCATTTTGCTTTATTGTATCATATTTTCCCTCTAAAATTTCCATGCCGGAGTTTGAGGAAGAATTTCCCATGGCAAATTAGAACCATAATTTAGAGTGGCAAGTGGCAAATTGGGACCATAATAAGAGGGGCTGTTATGTGTTACAGAACCAAGAACCAGGCTCCAAGTGAAATCATCCTTTAAAAAAATCATCTCTTAGTGCAACTAAGATTAATCCACAAAATCGCCATGAAAATGGAAAACTGGTCGCTAGGTGGCCACTAACCGTAAAGAATCAGTTTCCAGAAAGAGAATAATAGAAAAAAATAATACGGAGTATAGAACAGATTCCCAGCTTTCCGAAAAGTTGAAAAACACTTGACACTTGTGCTGAGTGTTTTTAAAAGTTTAAACTTTAAACCAAACACCTATGACAACAAAGGTGTTCTTTCTCTTCCCATTTGTAAGCATTACTCCTAATCAGGTATGGGTCTTTCAGGTCAAGCTTAGGCAGTCCCGCCTTCAAAATCATTTTGAACACATGCGATTTCCAGGTGTGGGAAGAGTCACTCTTCTTTGCTATGGTAAGCGTGCTCCTAGGAGCCTTTACTTTAAGTCAGAAAGAAAAGAGAAAAAAAAAAAGGATGACACCCCATCCCGGCCCCCCAACACTGACCGGACGACACGATGGGAGGATGTAAATTGGACTATAATCACAATCTGACAGATAGAGAGTGAGGCTCTGTCCCCGATACTTGCAGAGGCCCTATGCATTTTTCAGCACAGTAACCCCTCATCGCAGTTGCCGGGATTCAAACCCGAGACCTAACCCTTGTGGCACTCCCTTGCTACCAGTTGGGCTACGCCCACCGGTAATGCATCGACAAGGAGGAGGAGGAAGCCCAATAGGTCCGACAAGAAAGTGAAGAAATCTGATTTTATACATTCTTTTTTAGGTAGATTCTATGGTACCCTTAAAGTATCATACATTTGTCCACATTGACCAATAGGAATGATGCAGTTGAATTAATTAAATCTAAATTAAAAGGAATAGAATGATTTGGACCAATCAAATGCATGATAAGTACGGTACCCCAATTTTTAAAAGGGTAGAGGAGTTGTTTTGATGCTTTTTAATGAAATGTTGGCCTCACTATACGTAGTACATTTTGTATGAGCAAAAAAAGCTGGTTTAGATACTTGCAAACATGACTTTTTAATTGTGATGTACATAGTCTATCTCAGATTTGAAAAAAAAGATCACCATTCACCTAAGCATTTTGTCAAACATTAGGGGATAAAAAAAACTACAGAAACATAGATTTATAAATAAGCATAGCAAGTTATTATTATACGGAGTTTGTGACTCCTGAGATTTATAATAAGCATAGCAAGTTATGAAAAAATAACATAGATTTACTAATGGAGAAGCTGATTCAGAGATGGAAACGGAGCTTGAAGTAACAGATTGAGAGATGGTGATGAAGCTTGATACGAAGCATTAATCGGATGGAGAAACTGATTGAGAGATTGTAATGGAGCTTAATAGGAAGCTTGAATCGGGAGGAAGGGTTTAGGATTATGAGAGAAACAGTATGGTTCGAGAAAGAGGTAAGGAGGGTAGGCCTGTCAATGGGTCGGGTCTAGACCCGGACCCGACCCGAACCCGGTTATTTTTAATGGGTATGGGTCTATGTTTTATTCCGTTTACCCGGACCCGGACCTAGGGATGGATTTAGGGGGGGGCGCGGGGGGGGCGACCGCCCCCCTTGGACATTCAATTTTTTTTACCATATATGTAATATTTTCATAAAACTTTCATAATTTAATTATATTCGCCCCCCTTAGCTTTTAATTTTCAAAATTAGTATATAGTCTTACATAATGTAATACTTAATTGAAGATTTAAAAGAAGAAACATCTAAAATAATTTACATAACTTAAACAAATAAACAATAGAGTAACTCGTTATTTAAGATTTAGGATACTTATTATATAAGAATTCCTAGTTTTGTAATGTTTAATTATCTTTATTAGATAACAAGTACAAGATTTTGTAAAACATATATCAAACAATATTAAATACTAGACACACTAATTACACAATTTTTAGATCACGTGAAATGAATCCAAAATATAAATATTTATAGACATCAGATTACATAATTCATTTACTTCTTGCTTTCTAAAAATAATTTACTGCATGGATAGATGATAAACTTTAAATTATTATAGAATTAATAAAAAAATTAAAATATAATATGCACCATATATGTGTGTGTGTATGTGATGCATATTATTCTAAAAATAAAAATCTCATACATACTAGTATACTACTATTGTAATATTAAGAAAACTTCTCATGAGTCATGACTCACGAACACCCTCCTTGGTGGACAAAAATTACAATTCAATAACTGATTCATGAGGTTAAACAATGTAGAAGTTATTAAAAATGTATTGGTTGATGTCTTTGGCATTGTCTAAACTTAGAATGTAATAGATTTAAATGCCGGTTGGGGATGTGCAAGTATTAATGTCATTTTTTGAATAAAAATAGCCGCATAGCCCTACAGTAGCAAAAAAAATTCGCCCCGCTACACTAGGGGAAAAAATTTCACCCCGCTACACTAACAAAAAAAAATCACCCCCAACACTAACAAAAAATTTCGCCCCCCTTGACTCAAAATCCTGGATCCGTCCCTGCCCGGACCCGTTAATATTTTAATAAATGGGCCGGGTATGGTACATATGATTCCAACCCGTTAAGGACCCGGACCCGTTTATAATTTTTTTTATTAATATATATTTCATATACTAATATAGTAATACATACCTAAAACTAGTATCCCATTAATACATATTAAAACAAACTGGGATATTCTATTTTAGTTTTGTTTATTTCACTATCAAAGACATTCAATACGTTTGGATGAAAGTACTGGTTTGTTACGTGAACATCAATTTTTTTTTAAAAAAGACGTGTTTTACTTATTACTCCGTATTAAGGATGATTGAGATCTAGATGTAGCTAGTTTGTGGAATTGCATTACATTCATGATTCATATACACGTTTTGTTTTATATTTGGTGGGTCTAATCTTCCAAAAAAATGGCGGGTCTACCCGATCCAGACTCGAGACCCGTTGGGTCCGGGTCCGGGTCCAAAATTGCAGACCCGACGGGTAAACGGGTCCGGGTCCGGGTCCGGGTCCCTTATTTACTTAGCGGGTCCGGGTCTGGAACACTACATTCCGGCCCGGACCCGACCCATTGACAGGCCTAAAGGAGGGAACGATTTTATTTCAGAGAGAAACGGTGGACCAGGTAGTAGTGATTTAAGTGAGCGAATGGTTTTATGGGTCCTGCTTGGGGTACCCCAATTTGTACCACAATCTGTACACCGTCTGTGTATACAGACATTTGGACTGAAAGTCTTGCTCTCTTTCAAACGAATTGCCTGTGTACACAGGCAATTCAGGGGGGTGGGTATAAAATGAGGTACATTTTGGGGTACCTATAGAATTTTTGTGGTTTTATTGCTTCAGGTGAGCAATCGTCCAAAGAAACGAAATGTTTAAAAGGAAAGAATAATAAAGGTCGTGAATGGGGTAGGAGAGAAGCGAGAAAGTCTTATGGAGAGAGATTCTCCCTTTAAGTATACAACAATACTTATGTACCCACTCTTATACCCACCTTATACCCAACATGTTTGTGAAGTGTTTTTTTTGTCTGTGAACCCGATTCACAGACAATATTTTGTTTGTGCAAAATATTGTATGTGAACCGGGATTCACAGACAAAAATAAAACACTTCACAAACATAGGTGGGTACAAAAGTGGGTATAAGAGTGAGTACAAACATCATTTTTGTTAGGTATATATAGGAATATAGGAATATGAATATAGGATAGGATAGGATTCAAGGACTTAATAACCTCTCTGCTAGAGTTAAAATTCAAAACACAGTGGTAACCAAACGACATCGTTTGGCTAATGAATTAATAAAAAAAACTGCTACAGCTAGAGCCCGTTTGGAGAACTCTGTTTTCGGCTTATCAGGCTTATCAGCCAACTTTTTCACCTAACACGTAACTTTTACTTTCGCGCACTGAATTGTGTAATAAGCCGAAAAAGTAAGGTTGGAGTTACTTTTCTGGCTGTATTGGCTGAAGTTACTGTAGAGGACCATTTTAGCTATTTTTACATATAATTTTTTCTTTAATTTATTAATAAAATATATTTTTAAAATATTTTTTTCTTAAATCAGCAGAATCAGCCAAAACAGCCACTCCAGCCAGAATATCATAAATTTCAGTAGAATCAGCCAAAACAGCCGATTTTGATGCTACCAAACGGGCTCCTAATGTCGTTCTCCGCTCTGCATCTCGCACCGCCGCAGGTCCGCAAGTCCCAAGAAGAAGATGAATATACAGGGGCGGGAAACTACATACCTAATACTACTATTAAAAAACTCCGGTGAAGGGGTGGAGCCGGCACCGGCTCGCCCCTGGATCCGCCCCTGCGAACCATAGTTATTTGGTTTCGATTTTGGTTTTCACATCTCAAAACCGAACCGAACCGAATAAACCGAACTTTTTAAAACTTGTTATTTTATTTATTAATCATTAAGTATAATATTTTATTTAGTTCTTAATTCTTAATTCTATAAAATTAATGTTTGATACTAGATTTATTAAGATTTGCAAGTTATTGACATTTAACATTTATGGTTTAATTAAGTGAAATATTTCTACGTACAATTAAGTCTATTGCTTTATTTTTATTATGTTGATATTTTAAATCATACGAGTAATTTACATTTCGCTTGTTGTTGCATGACAATGATATTTGTTGATATATTATATGTTATATGTATGTTTGTTATCACATAATTTTTTCATTGAACAAATATGTATTAATATAAAGTATTTTTTAAACGACATAGCTGAAAACGTGAAACTTTAAAGCATAAATATATTTATCTAAAAAGAAAGTAAATTAAGTTATTTACTAATAAAATTTTAACTTGTGAATACACCGTATATAATTCACAAATAAACTCACATGTTTAATTAATTTAAGAAATGTTTAAGTTGGTATACACGTACTCTCCAATTCATTGCTTAGAAGTGCATTTGTTTCTTTTCTCTTTTTTTTAATTATGTATGTTTTTGTATTGTATTACTATTAATAAAAGTTTGATGTAGTTTATTTTTTTATTTTTGTTTTCCATTTACGGTTTTTCTAATCAACAAAAATATTTTGGTAAAAACAGAAAAAGCCGAAACCGAACCGAACAAACCGTGGTTCCAAATTTTTGAACATAAAACCGAACCGAACTTTTTACTTTGATTCGGCATTTGGTTTTAGGTGAAAACCGAACCGTTTGAACCGAACCCACCCCTAGACGAAATCAAATAAAGGTTATATTTAAAATATACTCTGTATTATTATTAGCTTCTTTTATCCCAAATATTATCAAATTTACAAATTTATCTTATTCTTTCACTTTTATAAAAAAAGACTCAACTTCATCTTTTTCAACAATAATGCTTTCCTTTTTTGTTTTTTTTCAAAATTACACATTTTTATCAATATAGAAATGTTTGTAAACTTAAAACTACAAAAAAGTGAAAAATATGAAATATAAATATGACTTTCTTCTTAAGTCTTACTAATTCATCCATTGAAAGTGTAATTGTGAGAAAAGTTAAAGTTTGAGTCCTTTTTTTTTATAAAAGTGAAAGTATGTGATAGATTTATGAATTTGATGATAGTTGGAGTAGATATATTTAGCTAATAATCCTAAAATATATTTTGTTAATAAACAAAGAAAAAATTATATAAAAACTAGCTATAATTGTCCCCCACAGTAACTCCAACCAGTTCAATTAGAAAAATATTTCTAACCTTACTTATTTTGATTATTATACAATTTAATGCACGAAACTACAAATTATGTGTACGCAGTAAAGTTACTGATAAGGCTGATGTAAGCCGAAAATTGTCATCATTAAATGGGCGGGCTCATAGTCTTCCATGACCCTCTCTTTTTACCCCACTTGATCACAATGGCAAGTGGTTTATTCCACTGGCTTAAAGTGTTTCATGAATACTATAGCTTGATATTGTCGGTGATGATGACTTATAGCAACTCAGCCATTTGGATTATCTTGCTAAAGATTGTAGCAAGTGGTGGAGCTTTTGTGGCTATTTGAACGCAACCCTTGTGCTAATGCCATTGTGGAGAAGTAATATATAATGTGGTTGTACTTTATAAACATAAAGTCATAAACTGTAATATTGTATTGTATGGTGATTATTCCATGCTAGTAGTTAATGTGCTTGATGACTCAATGTTTAATGTTTTATTATGAGAGTTTAAGGTGGACTCTTCTGTATATACGTAGTATTAGATATAGAGGGTGTTTGGATCTGATTCTTAAAACTGCTTCTGCTCCTTTAGAGAGCAGAAACAGAAGTTGGAGTGTTTGGGTAAAAGTGCTGAAGTGATTCTGATGCTCTAATTTACTCCTAGAATCAGTTTTTTAAGAAGCTGGAGGAGATCAACTTCTGAAAACTGATTATGATTCTGCTTCTGCTTTAAAAAAAGCAGAAGTAGAAGTAGTTCCAAACACCCCATATACTCCGTATAGAACAAATACCTCTTTGTCCGTCTTTATGAAACCGATCAACTTTTCTGCTCTTAGATACCGAGCATATGTTGTTTTATGTGAAAGTGGGGTTGATTCGTTTTACACAAATACCGATCAACTTTAGTTCCATTCTTACTATTCCCTCCGGCCCTAAACAAAGGTATCCATACGTTTTTTCACACATTTTAAGAAAATGGTGTTGATTGATACTGTCAGGGCCGGTCTTGACATTTTATGGTCCTGGGTTGATTGAAAAAAAAGTCTCTTAAGAGGTTATATAAATATATTGCAAAGCTTAACTATATATACACAAATTTCCAACAAAGTAATGTAAGTCTTTCACAAAATCTTAAAATATATGAACTAAAAGAATATAAATTATCCGAAGTATTAAAAAATAAAATTAGAGAATTACCTGTAGTTAAACTGAAATTTCAAAGTTGGAAGATATTCTTGAGGAAATTAGGAGAGTGTTTATTGTTGATCGAACCGAATTAAAGTCCAAAAATGA